TGTTAAAAAGGTTTCTGTTATAAATAAATGCTGTTCTTATGAACTTTGTTAATCAAATAATCAAGGTTTTCACAAAAACATGAATCAACACAACTGTTTTCAACATTGACAATAATAATAAGTGTTTTCTCATATTAGAATGATTTCTGAAGGATCACGTGACACTGAAGGCTGGAGTAATGATGCTGAAAATACAGCTTTAATAAAAAAAAGGAAGAATAGAAAAAAGCTATTTTAATTTGTAATAATATTTCATATTTTTTCTGTATTTTTAATCAAATAAATGCAGTCTTTATAAGCATTACAGACTTCTTTCAAAAACATTTAAAAAAATTACCAAATGTAATCTTTTGAACAGGTGTATACCATAATATTTACATAGTGCTGTTTCAAATACATGGTCCTTTTTTCTTAGTGATGTTCACACCTGTGTTTAATTAAATCCTGTACCTGTCTTTTTATCAATAGCTGTGAGATTGTCTGCGTGAGCAACCAGACATCCTGTTCCCTGACGTCCGAGGCCCTTTACGCCACACTCCACCCAATCAAATTCAGCAGCTAGAGGTCTTTCCCAAAGCATCTTCCCATCAGTACCATCAACAGCCGTTAAAACCAGACATGGGATTGATAAATCTGAGAAAAAAAAAATTATTTCAGGCAGCATAATACACAACATAGCAGCAGCTGTCTCTTGTGAAGATTTTAATTTTTGGGGGAATAATGACTTCAATTTAGGTCTGATCCTCACACATAACTATCTGATCAATTCAGAAGTTTTTGAAAACTAACGCACAAGCCATGTGAACTGCTTTTAAGATGCTTTTGCAGTGTTTTAAACATTTAGATTTTTTATTGAATAGATTTGTCTCTATAAACAACAGCAAGCAGGTTAGTACATGTGTGTTTTTAGGCTTACCTTCACTCAAACACGTGTTGCGGCTGGCTTCAGAGTCCTTGTAGATGAACAACACATCCAAGACTTTGTCTTCATTGGCGTCCTCAACAGCCAGGAAATCATACGTGGCTACAGGAGAGAAACCCTTTCAGTATTCGGTCAGAAATGCATAAATGTAACTACTGTATTTTGCACGTTGCTCACCTGCGTCAGGTAACGTGCGGTTCCAGGTGGAGAAGTATTGAGGCCGTACGGGGCAGGGAAGGATGAATGAAAAGGCGAAGACCACTGCCAGGCACAGGAAGAGAGAGAAGAGGAAGGCAGCCGTGCGCCACCCCGTCAGGTGTGAGAAGCCCAGCTTTTCTGTGCAGCTTTTCTTCTTAGACACGCCCCCTTCTGCCTCTCCACCCTTCAGAGGCTCCGCCTCAAAACCACTCCCTGATGCGTCTGCCATCTCAGAGCAGCAGAACTCCTCACCACTGCAACACAGAAGCAGGTGAGACATAATCATCTGATCATTATCAAAACATTTATTTTACAGTCAATCATATGTAATGATTCCAGAATACCGTTTAATAATTTGACATTAACAAGCCTACTGTATCACATTTGATATAGTTCTAAAGCATTTAAATGATCGAAACTGAATTGGGAGATACAGAGTGACAACTGATATTTCTATGCATTTTTATGTAAATATCTGCTGTGCTGTTCTCAGTGATCTACATTACAACCGATCAGAATTTCATCTTACTTTCTGGTCACATACATATCAGCATCTGTACTAAATAGCATATTTTTGCTCAGTTTTTTTCCTCTTTGAGTATGAGTTTCATATTCTCATTATATTATATGAGCCATAAAAGCCTGATGTATCATATAAGATACACAACAACAACAACAAAAAACACATATGTAAACTTTCTTTACAGATTTAAAAAAAATACTTTGTCTAAAGGTTTAAAAAACTGTTCCATAAAAAAAAAAATGTTTTAATGATTTTTTTCATTTATGAGATTTTTCTGGCTATACTGACTATCAGGCTTTACTGTACTGTAATCTTAAAATCAATTTTAATGCTGCAGATAATTGTCTGCAAGTCTACTTAAGCACAAAACGTTAAGACCAATTGTTATTTTAAAAATCATAATAACATAATTTTTAACTCTGACTGAAAAATTGAATACAAAAATATATATTTAATGCTTAATTAAAATCCAGTACATTACAGTAATAATAATTTCATATGGCACATATAGGATGTCCTTTTATTCTTCAAATACTGAGCAAACACAGATTCAGGTCACAAAATGCCAAAATTTGATTCAATTCTCATTTGTTTCCAAGTCATGAATCCAAACATGCAAAAGAACACAGATCTCCGTAATAACGCACTCAAAATACTGTAACCTACGTGGTTCATCACCATACGCAAGGAAACAAAGGAAGAGTATCTAATTCTTCCAGCTCACAGATCCCTCCTACCTGAATTCAACCCTGTATGTTCAGTGACAGCAGCCCTGATCGTAACCATCAGAAGATCACGATCTACTGCATCCAGACCAGTGGCCTACTGCATGTAAACTCATGCACACTCAACAGATCCTGCTTCTTTTCCCATCCAGAGTGTTCTGCGTCAGACAGGAGCTGTTGTTAAACATCCAAACAAAAACACAACAACAAAACACCTGTCATGCTGGTGGAGCTCGAAGAGCCCGGGGCCAAACAAACACCTCCATTCTGGAAACTGTCATTTGGATGACAACAACAATTAACCACAACAGCACAGCACAGCACAGCACAGCACCACACACACACACACACACACACACACACACACACACACACACTATAAACAACATAACCATGTATATATAATGATTTTTAAAGTATAAAATTCATCCCAAGCCTGTTGCATGGCATTAAATAACAACCACAGTTTAACTAAATAAAGCTTATATAAGAAACAACTAAGTCTTTTCACATTCATTAGCTAAAATACAAAGTTGTGTCTAGCATAAACAGAAATCAAGATCATGTTTTGTAGAAGAATTGATAGGTCTGTCTTAAATACAAGTTAAAATGACTTTTAATTAGCAAGCCTCACTTGTTGGCCAAACAGAAACCACGTAAATGAATTAAATAGCGATCGTTTAGGTAAAACACACTTTTGTCTGATCAAAACAAACCTGCTGAATGTAATGCACCTTCTGCTCCTCGAGTAGCTCAGCAGGTTTGACAACGACACTTCCGCGTACGGCGACACGACTGGGACAAAAGAGCGATTTTGTTACAATGGATCTTATCTTATTTATCGTATCTTATTTGCTCGGACGACAAAATGTAAAATGTCGTTTAAAATTACCCACTGAGAAATTATAAAGAAAGCGTTTTACTAATTTTACGCATAGCGCAGAAATGTAAGTATTTATTTTTGTGTTAGGCTGTCGTCTAAAAATATTGCTAAAAATAAAAATAACTGCATTAAAATACATTACTTTAAAGATAAATTATTTAAACGATTAGTTAAAATGAATTTTGTAACTGCTAAATTTAATATTATTGATGTTAGTAACCATGTTACAGGTTTTGTTATACATTTGAGTTTCTTAAAGGGGTCATATGATGCGATTTCAATTTGTCCTCTCTCTTTGGAGTGTTACAAGCTCTTGCTGCATAAAGAAGATCTGTAAAGTAGCAAAGACTAAAGTCTCAAAACCAAAGAGATATTCTTTATAAAAGTTAAGTCAACCACGCCTACCTAAAACGGCTCGTTCTAACACGCCCCCACATGTCTACCTCACTATGTGGGAAGATTTGCATAACGCCGCCCTAATGTTCACGCAAAGAAAGAAGGCGTAACTTTTATTCTCGCTGTAGTATTGTTGACGGCGCCGCCATGTCGTGAAGACGCTGTGCTTCGTTGTGAAAGCGAAACTACTTTGTTTGGTCTTCCAAAAGAGGACACGACTAGAAATCAGTGGTTAAGTTGTATTTACAACACTGTTCCAGAACAGTTTAACCCAAATATTCAGATGTGTGCAGCGCATTTTATGGAGGACTGTGTCCTGATCCTGGGAGAGTAGACTACAATGCCGGCTGTTCTGACTCACAGACTGTAAGTATATTTTTTATATTTAAAGAATTTGCCACTGACGATTCAAACGTGAGTTTTGAGCAGTGTAGAGTAGCACTTGTTGTTTGTCATTTCTCCGATCACAAATGCAGACATGGTTTTATGTTGCAACACGTTAAAAGGCAGTATAAGTCATTATAATCCATAATTATGTCCCCACTGGATGCAACAAATGCCTATTATTTAAACGATTAGTCAAAATGAATCTTTGTAACTGCTAAAATTAATATTGATGTTAGTAAATGTGTTACTGGTTTTGTTATACATTTGAGTTTCTTAATTATTATTATTATTATTTCAGAAAACAAACAATACAAAAATATTATAATATATAGTAAAATATATTATATAAACGATTAGTTCAAATTAATCTATGTAACTGCTAAATTGAATATTATTGATGTTAGTAAGTTTCTTAATTATTATTATTCATTTTATAAAACATAAAGAATACAAAAAAATTTAAAAATAACAATATATTCAATATAAAATACACTTCCTCTTTAAGATTGCGTAGCGCGCTCTGATTGGCCGCTCACTCGTTTGAGTTCGTTTTGTTTGCTCTCTCGCTAGTGAAGAGACTGAGTGACAGCGCGAGAGACACTGGAGCGAAGCGGTTCGCCGATGATATAAGCAAAACACCAAAAAAACAACTACAACCACACACACACACACACACACACACATATATATATATATCTTGTACGTAGTAAGAAATGGTTATAAAAACTGAAACCGAAGCGAAACAAGTACGCGATGGCTGCTGCGGTAAGCTTTTTTTTATACCCGTCTAACAAAATACTAAATGAATTCAGCTGGACACACTTTCCTTATTTTTTCCACAACAAATGGCCAAGCAAGCGCAGACACTGACAAGATACGCCATGCAGAACGAGACCAAACGCGATATCAGCACGTCTCCACACAGTAAACAAAACAAGCGAAATATGTATATTCTTAAATGTATAAAATATATTTAAAGAGATGAAAATTTATATATAAAGCATCTTCAGCCTTCTCTCTATTTATCAGCTATTAATAATGAAATTTCATATATAAAATGTAATTTCCCCAAAAATGGATGCAAGCATTAAATCTGAAGGAGCATTGCTAAGAGGAAATATGACTTTTAGATTTTGTGATGTGATTTTGATCAGCTCAAGAGGATTTTGCTTAAGATGAGTAAACCGAAGGGACTTGAGCAGATGCACTTGAATTTGTTAAATTGAGTTTTACTGGCTGTAAGAAATCTCACCCTCCGTGTGAATGAAGCGACTGTCTGTGTGAATGCTGAGATGAATTCATATGCTTCCCGTACATTTGTTTCATACAGACTGAACAATTGTGGCCCCTTTATTCTATTCATTAAGGTTCAGTGTATGTTTGCCAGCCTACATCTGCAAGGGAGTTGCAGAAAAGCCTCATGTTCATCGAGCCGTGAGTCACCAATGCTTTTTAAAGCTGTTATGAATATGAAAAAACAATACTGTTTGCTTTCCAGCAGTAACTGTGTTACACATCACGCTAATTGGTAACGTAAGAGTGAGCAGAGAGGATACGAAGCTTCTGCCCAGGCGGATGTAGTTCACTGATGCTGTGCCTGAGCAGCTTTCCTCAAATCTAACTTAATAAAAAAATAAAGGAAAGAAAACTCAAATTCCTCCGCCGACGTCTTCACTTTTATTCTTCTGTATCATTCCCAACTTCCTCATTACAGGTTTGGGCAAGAAAAGCTTTTCCCTTTAAACTTTTAGAGGCTGGGACCGCAGGAGGGGTTCTGAATGGGAGAGACCTCGCAGTGTGTATCAATTAACCTTTCACTTTAGTTTTCAATGTCTTATTTCAACTTGGTCAACTGTGGTTTAATATGCACATTAGATAATGCAGCATTTCTGTATGTACGCATGAGGGCTAGTGCTATTACGGAGTACAAGATGGCTCTCTGAAACATGACAACCCTCTCTGATCAACTATCCCATACAACTTTGCACTCAATTGGCTGTTATAAAATCATAGATGCATCATGCAAACTAGGGCTGGGTGATATAAAACATTTGATGTGTGTGTTTTTTTTTCTTTCCTGGCTTTATAATGTTTCGCAATATCTTGAATAGCAGTGCAATAATTTTAATGCTTATATTTTAACCATTCAACTTCCCAAACGTAGTGTTTCTGATTTAAACTTCATTTGCACATGTTAATTTTCATGTATTAATTGATTTTGTAATACATTTTGCTTGTTATATTGGTGCATATAAATTATATATCTTGTGATAATTTTTAAATAATAATTTATAACTAAATTATACCTTAAAATGCAGAAAAATATCAATATTTTTATCATTATTTGAGCTACATCACCCAGTCCGAATGCTCACTGTAGAAAACATCAGTGCATTTATATGGTGGCTGTACAGAATAAATAACTGATAATAACAGGGACTGCTAGCCTCTTGGTTTGGTCCGTGATCAGATGCTACCTCTTTATTTTTAGACATTCACATTAAGGAGCCAGTTAAAGAAAGCGGCCTTGGGTCAGTATAAGTTAAATATCTCCAATCTACACTGAACAAAATGATAAACGCAACACTTTTGTTTTTGCCCCCATTTTTCCATGAGCTGAACTCAAAGATCTAAGACTTTTTCTATGTACACAAAAGGCCTATTTCTCTCAAATCTGTCTAAATCTGTGTTAGTGAGCACTTTTCCTTTGTCGAGATAATCCATCCACCTCACAGGTGTGGCATATCAAGATGCTGATTAGACAGCATGATTATTGCACAGGTGTGCCTTAGGCTGATCACAATAAAAGGCCACTCTAAAATGTGCAGTTTTACTGTATTGGGGGGTCTGGGGGGGTCCCGAAAACCAGTCAGTATCTGGTGTGAGCACCATTTGCCTCACGCAGTGCAACACACCTCCTTCGCATAGAGTTGATCAGGTTGTTGATTGTGGCCGGTGGAATGTTGGTCCACTCCTCTTCAATGGCTGTGCGAAGTTGCTGGATATTGGCAGGAACTGGAACACGCTGTCGTATACGCCGATCCAGAGCATCCCAAACATGCTCAATGGGTGACATGTCCGGTGAGTATGCTGGCCATGCAAGAACTGGGATGTTTTCAGCTTCCAGGAATTGTGTACAGATCCTTGCAACATGGGGCCGTGCATTATCATGCTGCAACATGAGGTGATGGTCGTGGATGAGCATCTATGCCACACCTGTGAGGTGGATGGATTATCACGGTAAAGGAGAAGTGCTCACTAACACAGATTTGTGAACAATATTTGTGAACAATATTTGAGAGAAATAGGCCTTTTGTGTACATAGAAAAAGTCTTAGATCTTTGAGTTCAGCTCATGAAAAATGGGGGCAAAAACAAAAGTGTTGCGTTTATCATTTTGTTCAGTGTACATGAACGAACAGCCTTTACTTTCTTGTGAAATACAATTTATATCCGACACTGTCAAACACACGCTCAGTATATGTCAGAGCTCATGATTTCACCACAGTGACAGGCAGGTGTGTGACCCTTGGCCGCAAAGTTAGCAGTGTGTAGCGGACGCAGTGTGTGTGTGTGAGAGAGACGTGTGTGTGGTCTCTTTCAATGTCTGTTATGTGCTGTGTCCTTACAGGAGATGAGTCGAGACAGCGGGTTAAATTCACAGACGAGCGTGTCTGCAAATCGCACCTGCTCAACTGCTGCCCACATGACATCCTCTCTGGAACGGTGAGGGAAAACATATTACAACAGTCAATGATGAGTGTTTGTGCAGCATATTGATGAAGCCGTGTGTTTGTAGCGCATGGACCTTGGCGAATGCTCTAAGATACATGACCTGGCGCTGAGAGCAGACTATGAGATCGCGTCTAAAGAGAGAGACCTGTTCTTCGAACTGGATGTAAGTGATTCTGTATTGAGTCGAGCTCATCTGCTAGTGTTTTAAATTAATTTGCTGCAAAGGCTGATGCTGAATCTGTGTTGTGCAGGCGGTGGATCACCTGGAGTCGTTTATTGCCGACTGTGACCGCAGGACTGAGTTGGCCAAAAAGCGTCTCGCTGAGACACAGGAAGAGATCAGCGCTGAGGTGGCCGCAAAGGTATGAAGTGTGGAAAAATTTCAAGTCACAATGATTTAAAAAAAGTTTTTGTTACTATAATAGCCCTGGTTATTATAACCCTGAATGTTTAAAAAAAAAAAAAAAAAAAGTCAATAAATGCATGATATTTCCCAAGTTAGTGTGTAATCAGTGTAAATATTTGCAATCTCTGTACCGACCAGAGCAATCATTATTATGATTTTTGGCACAATCAAGCCTTTCTTTACTTTTCTCAGTTTATGAATAATCTGATCTTTTGTGTGCAAATAAAAGGAGGAAATTGAATAAGATGAGATGCTGTGTATTCAAGTCCCTAGATTATATAAAGAACTCATGGAGTTGTGTGATCTGTGTCTTATTTACCTTGTGTGTTTGGTTGGCAGGCAGAAAAGGTTCACGAGTTGAACGAGGAGATCGGGAAGCTGCTGGCGAAAGCTGAACAGCTCGGCGCTGAGGGGAATGTGGATGAAGCCCAGACAGTTCTACAGGAGGTTGAGAGAGTCCGAACTAAGAAGAAGGATGCAGAGGTTCGTCAGCATACTATATTATTTATATGCAAGCTGTCTCATTTCATTGATTCAAAATGTGATGTTACTTTTTGAATTTTTTACAGTCTAATCTCTCTCTTACTCTAGTGTGAGTTTGTAGTGTTTTCTGGATGTTTTTCTGACATGGCAATACAAATAAATAACTGCTACTAGTATCGTCATTTGCTCGGTTTTATTTACAGGAAGAGTACAGGAACTCTATGCCCGCCTCCAGTTTCCAGCAGCAGAAGTTGCGCGTCTGTGAGGTTTGCTCTGCCTATCTTGGTCTCCATGACAATGACCGGCGTCTCGCTGACCACTTTGGCGGCAAACTGCACCTGGGCTTCATTCAGATCAGAGAGAAGCTGGAACAGCTGAAGGTAACCGGTCGGCCTGAATCAGGTGCTGGCGGGGGGGGTCATTGGTTACATTGCAGCATTTCTTTACAGAAAACCGTGCAGGACAAACAGGAGAGACGGAACCAGGAGCGACTGAGGAGGAGGGAAGAGCGGGAGAAAGAGGAGAAAATGAAAAAACAGTGAGAATATTTTAAACACATTTTCATGTGACCTGGTGCATTTCTAAGATTCCTATTTTTTGTGAAATATACGGTAGAATCTAAAATGATCTTTGTCTAGTTTGCCTATATTTTGATTTGTTTTTATATAGTAATTTGTGTGTTTTGAATTTAAAATTCAAAGATATCACCTGTTAAAATAATTCATTTTGAGAATATTTTATGCACGTTTTCATGTGATCGTGTGCATTTCTAAGATACTACATTTTTGTAAAATGCTGGTAAAAAAAAGAGTCTGGTTTGCTAGTTTATTTTCATACGATATTTAAATGTATATTTATTATGAATAATTAAATGTGTTAATTTTATCTACTTGTTTTTGTTTTTCAGTTTTTGAAGTTCAAGGAAACCCACTGTTAAAAAGACTAATGTATTTATTTAAAGATTTAAGAAAGTTTCCAAAGTCAATGAGTAGTCAGTTTAAATAATAGTGATTGCAGTGTTGACCAAAATAATTGTTATTCTTGTCTGGTTTTCCCTGTAGGACTAAGTCACGCAGCCGAGAACGCAAGAGGTCAGTTGCTCATTCACTTCTTCATTCAGCATTTATTTTCATGTCTATCATGTCAGTTATTGCAACAAACATGCAAATCAAGGTCTGAGATTAAGTCAAAGAACATTGTGCATTGGCCACAAGTACATTGTGCTACGTAAGAATAATGGTTTCGACAGTCGTGGAAATGTCAGGGCATTTAAAAAATTTGAACTTTTGAGGGGATTAATAAAATCTTGAAACCTTTTGAATGTCTGTACTCCTCTAAAATATCTCATTGGCTATCAACTGCTTTTAAATGTTAAAACTTCCCCAAAAAGCCATAGGAATGTCAGGTTTGAGCAAATAGTTTAACTAGTTTGCATATTAATCAGAATGATTCATTGTCAAATCAGCCAAAATCTAAATAAAATTGCATTGGACATTTCTCTAATCTCATGCATGTAGCAGTTGTTCACGTCTGTTTTTCCTTTCACTGTTTCTAGGTCTCGTTCTCGCGAACGTGATCGAGAGCGCAGACGCCGACGTTCCCGCTCTGCATCACGAGAGAAGCGCCGTTCCCGTTCTCGCTCCAAAGAGCGCGACAGACGCCGGCGGCACCGATCTCGATCCAGATCCCGCTCGCGCCACAGCCGAGAACACTCACACAAGTAATAATTAATGCTCTTCCTCTCTCATTCATATGAAGCTTTCAAAAGCCTGAATTGTGGTTTATTATAGTTTCTGAAATAAATTTTTTGCTGTTATGATTTTTATTTTTTTTAAGAAATTATTCTTAAATCTTTTAGATTCTGTTTTGAATTAATACATCAAGTATGGTTTTCACCATCAAAATAGGCAAGACTGGCATTAAAAAGCAAACAAACCCTCAATGATCTTGTAGTAACGGTTGATTGATGTGTGTCTAGGTCTTCACGGGACCGTGATCACGAGAGGGACAGCAAGCGCAGTTCATCCGAGCGGAGATCAGACGGGCTGAACGGGAGGACGGAGTCTCGCCGTCACGATGACAGAGAGGCTGGAGAGATCTGAATCGTCTCGCTCTACCATAACAAACACACAGCGCGCGCTCATTCATATATATACCCACTTTTTTATTTATCATGTTTGCTTGGTCCGTAGTAAACTGCCCACGCCCTGTTTCATTACAGTCTTTGTAGTCTTTAATATCTCAGTCCAGTGAGACCTAAACCTGTCGGATTCACTGTCAAATGTTGAAATGACGATTGTGTGTGGAGAAAATGTTTTATTTTCTCAAAAGTATGTACTGCCACTTTCTTTGCCCCTCCATAATGTCTGTTATTTTTTGGGATTGGGATTTTATTTTGTACAGTTTGTCCTGAGTGGATGTGTGCATGTTTTGCTGAAGGCTGGTTTGAGGTCAGGTTAAATGCCCTTTCTTTAAACATAGCTGCAGTATTCCCCCATAGAGACAGAGGGACTCTCTTTGCATCAGTAGCAGAGGCGTAGGAGTTTAATAAATCTAAACGAGTGAATCCGTCATGGCGTATTGTTTCAGATTTACCGTGTACATGATCTTTTATAAGGCTGTTTTGATTTCATGTCCTTATCAAAGTGCATTAAATGGTTTTATGACTTTAAATGGTGTTTGTCATTACTGAGTGAACTTATACATACTCAGTTTATTAGTTGAAAAAGTCATTTTAACGGTTTGGTCCCTTTTTACCAAATAATTAAGATGAGCGTTTGTGTATTTAATATTGAACCTGTTTTATTTATTCCTTTAGATTGTGAATTTGATATGCAGTAAATATTTAGAAATATATTCATCTACCAGGCATGCGCACATCAATGTAGCATAATTTTTGTCATGCTGTACAACAATAATTACTGTTTTTGCATTATTGTAAGGGGTAGGTTTAGGGTTGGTGTAGGTGTAGACGTTAAAAGAATAATAGGTAGAAAATTAAATAGAGAATATCATTTTTTTCTACAATTAAATAGAAAATAGGCATTTGATGTATTTAAAATATTACTCTTATGTTAGAATAGTTGATTAGACTGTATTTGTTGGACATTATCTCGATGGAACTCAACTTCTCGTATACATGGATCTAATGTGAAAACTAAATTTATGGCATTCAGCTTTTAATATGTCAGCTTTTCTAAAATCTTTGTCAAAATAATTGTATTGCTATATATTTATCTATTATTATTAATTTATTTTTATTATTACTATTTATATATATATATATACTTATTTTTATGATGATTTTTCTTATTATTATTATATATATATATTTTTTTTCTACCAGGGTTGGGGTGGGTTCTAAATTTACACAGTTGCTGTTTGTTTTATATTACTATTCCCAGAAGAAAATTCAATAAAGAGTTGTTAACAAAAAAAAAAAGAATACAGTTGATTAAATTAATCTAATATGTCTTAATATTTTTTTTTACAGTTCATTCCAGGGATTCATATCACTGTACTACTTTGAATTGTTTTTAATTCATAATCGACGTCAAATCTAAAAAAAGTTATTGTACATTAATATGAATTTATAATAGGTTTTATTTTTAATATCACCAAAGACTATAGAATACCCTAAAAAGGTCTTAAAAGGACTTTGATATCACCGCCAGCGTTCCGTTTCTGTGCGTCAGTAGATCGTCATTTCCGGCAACGTCACCGTGACGGCACAGTCAAAACAACCGAAACATGATGCTAGCGTCTCACAGCCGCGAGTAAAATGTCGTGTTTTTAGCGATCGCCGATGAAAACGTTGGAGATTTGTCATCTTAATGTCATGATCGTGGCGGACTATGAGTTTGGCAGCGTTTCAATCGGAATAAGGGATCAAAAAGTGATCATAAAAGCACCAGTGTCGCGACCGGTTTGCTAACGACAGGCGTCCAGTCCAGCACTCAAACCCGGTACGCGTGAAATTATTCACATTTTACTTTGAAAATATGACATGTGAAGTCAATTGTGCTTCATTAAACTGATTAAAGCGCCTGTAGACGCACAGAGCACAGGTGTGTCAGTCACATGCCATTCTATAGAGTTTCTCTTCTAATCACCATAAGTTTAGATTGAAGAATTATTTTGACTAGATTTTGTAGATTCATTATCGGTTTTGGTCAAATTACATGAGTTTTATGTTCACTGTGGCTGCTGGAGGAGCTTGAATCATCTGCCACAGCTGTCAGGGGCTGATCAGAGTCCAGATGTGTGTGTGTTATGTCCATTATGTAGTCTATATATGAGTGTTATTGCAGTCTACATGCATGTAGTGTGTATTATTGTAGTCCTGATGTATGTAGTGTGTATTATTGAGTGTAAATTGTGTTTCTGACGTTGATGTGTGTGTGTGTGTGTGTGTGTGTGTGTGTGTGTCTGCAGAGAGAGAGGTTTGCTCCAGGCAGGTATCTGAAAGCGCCTGTAGACGCACAGAGCACAGGTGTGTCAGTCACATGCCATTCTATAGAGTTTCTCTTCTAATCACCATAAGTTTAGATTGAAGAATTATATTGACTAGATTTTGTAGATTCATTATCGGTTTTGGTCAAATGACATGAGTTTTATGTTCACTGTGGCTGCTGGAGGAGCTTGAATCATCTGCCACAGCTGTCAGGGGCTGATCAGAGTCCAGATGTGTGTGTGTTATGTCCATTATGTAGTCTATATATGAGTGTTATTGCAGTCTACATGTATGTAGTGTGTATTATTGTAGTCCTGATGTATGTAGTGTGTATTATTGAGTGTAAATTGTGTTTCTGACGTTGATGTGTGTGTGTGTGTGTGTGTGTGTGTGTGTGTGTCTGCAGAGAGAGAACTATTTATATATATATATATACTTATTTTTATGATGATTTTTCTTATTATTATTATATATATATATTTTTTTTCTACCAGGGTTGGGTTCTAAATTTACACAGTTGCTGTTTGTTTTATATTACTATTCCCAGAAGAAAATTCAATAAAGAGTTGTTAACAAAAAAAAAAAGAATACAGTTGATTAAATTAATCTAATATGTCTTAATATTTTTTTTTACAGTTCATTCCAGGGATTCATATCACTGTACTACTTTGAATTGTTTTTAATTCATAATCGACGTCAAATCTAAAAAAAGTTATTGTACATTAATATGAATTTATAATAGGTTTTATTTTTAATATCACCAAAGACTATAGAATACCCTAAAAAGGTCTTAAAAGGACTTTGATATCACCGCCAGCGTTCCGTTTCTGTGCGTCAGTAGATCGTCATTTCCGGCAACGTCACCGTGACGGCACAGTCAAAACAACCGAAACATGATGCTAGCGTCTCACAGCCGCGAGTAAAATGTCGTGTTTTTAGCGATCGCCGATGAAAACGTTGGAGATTTGTCATCTTAATGTCATGATCGTGGCGGACTATGAGTTTGGCAGCGTTTCAATCGGAATAAGGGATCAAAAAGTGATCATAAAAGCACCAGTGTCGCGACCGGTTTGCTAACGACAGGCGTCCAGTCCAGCACTCAAACCCGGTACGCGTGAAATTATTCACATTTTACTTTGAAAATATGACATGTGAAGTCAATTGTGCTTCATTAAACTGATGAAAGCGCCTGTAGACGCACAGAGCACAGGTGTGTCAGTCACATGCCATTCTATAGAGTTTCTCTTCTAATCACCATAAGTTTAGATTGAAGAATTATATTGACTAGATTTTGTAGATTCATTATCGGTTTTGGTCAAATTACATGAGTTTTATGTTCACTGTGGCTGCTGGAGGAGCTTGAATCATCTGCCACAGCTGTCAGGGGCTGATCAGAGTCCAGATGTGTGTGTGTTATGTCCATTATGTAGTCTATATATGAGTGTTATTGCAGTCTACATGTATGTAGTGTGTATTATTGTAGTCCTGATGTATGTAGTGTGTATTATTGAGTGTAAATTGTGTTTCTGACGTTGATGTGTGTGTGTGTGTGTGTGTCTGCAGAGAGAGAGGTTTGCTCCAGGCAGGTATCTGGGTCCCCGGGACAGGCCGGTGCTCACCGAAGAGACGGGGAACAGGATCGGTAAGCAGGGGGGAGCGGCCACCGCAGAGCCTGTGGAGAAGATGGCAAGCAGCCCCGAGAAAAGCTCCTCCGCACAGGAGCTCAAGGAGCAGGGCAACCGCCTGTTCCTCAGCCGCAAGTACCAGGAGGCCACAACCTGCTACAATAAAGCCATTGTGAGTGGAGCGCGAGTTTGTCCGTTTACAGGAAATTTACGAGCACATCTGACAGAAAAAATCAATCTTGCAGACACCAAACCTTTTAAATTTGTGACCCTGGAGCACAAAAGCAGTCTTAAGTCGCTGGGTATATTTGTAGCAATAGCCAACAATACATTGTATGGGTCAAAATTATACATTTTTCTTTTATGTAAAATAACAATTATTTTGTATTTCATTAAGTAAATATCATGTTCCATGCAGATATTTTGTAAATTTCCTACTGTAAATATATCAAAACTTAATTTCTGATTAGTAATATGCATTGCTAAGAACTTCATTTGAACAACTTTAAAGATGATTTTCTCAATATTATGATTTTTTCCAGATTCCAGATTTTCAAATAGTTGTATCTCGGCCAAATATTGTGCTATCATAACAAACCATACATCAATGGAAAGATGATTTATTCAGCTTTCAGATGATGTATAAATCTCAATTGTAAAAAAATTGACCCTTCTGACTGGTTTTGTGGTCCAGGGTCACATTTATATTCACATTTGAGAGAAAAATAAATCTTGCTGACATCAAACGTTTGAAAATTTGGAGGAAAAAAAAAAAGTTAAACTTTTGACATTTGTAAATTATGATCAGTGACATTGTATTTTGTTGGATACCAAGGTTTTTCATGTCTACTTGTTAATGAGGACACGCACATCAGTGTTTTTAGATTTGTGGAGTAATTTCATTTATAACAATTATTTGGAATTATAAAATTCGTCTTTTGGGGTAAGATGGCCCACCAGAGTTTTTTCACAAATTTGTTATTAGTGATGATATTTTTTTTTTTTAAACCTAGGCCGATTAAATTAAATCATGTTATCTGAATATGTAAATATTAATTTGCCTGTATTTAAGTCATAGACTAAATTTAAGTTTCAGATAAACCTATTTTCCTGGGATTCTGCTTTGTCTGTCATGGGTTAATTTCATACCTTTTTTTTTTTTGTTAAAGAAATTCGTGTTTTTATTCTGTAAGGATGCATTCAATCGATCAAAAGTGACAGCAAAGACATTTCTAATGTTACAAAAGATTACAGCTTATATTCACCAAAAAATGCTAATAAATCTATCACAGTTTTCAAAAAGTTATGAAGCAGCTCAACTGTGCTCAGTTTAGATGAAATGTACATGCATGTTTGACATTCAGTAATGCATTGAACTCATCAAGTGGAGATTGTTTGGATATAGATTTTTCTAGGAATGATCAAAGTTGTGCTGTACTGAATGTGTTTCTGCTGTGCTGTGTGTAGAATCGTAACCCGTCGGTAGCTGTGTACTACACTAACAGAGCGCTATGCTACGTGAAGCTGCAGCAGTACGACAAGGCACTGGCCGACTGTAAACACGCCCTCGAGCTCGACAGCCAATCGGTGAAGGCCCACTTTTTCCTGGGCCAGTGTCAGCTGGAGCTGGAGAATTATGAAGAGGCCATCGGCAATCTACAGAGAGGTACACGTGGAATTTCTATGGACTTTGGAAAAAGAAAGATTTAAGAAAAAAGATTTACACATTTGAATTAGAATTTGTGTTTTTTGGGATGCTTTTAATAGTATAGTTCACCCAAAAATGAGAACTGTATCATCATTTGCTCATCCTCATTGTTCCAAACCTGACTTTCTTTCTTTTGTTGAACACAAGTGTAATTATTCTTTTTTTAATTAATGGCACTCTATATACAGTACTTGTAAAAATCATTACAATTTTAAATGTTTTTAATGAAGTCTCTTCTGCGCACCAAGGCTGCATTTATGTGCTCAAAAATACAGTAAAATATTATTGAAATTTAAAATAACTGTTTTCTATTTGAATATCTTTTAAAATGTAATTTATTCCTGTGATACAAAGCTACATTTTTTTTCAGCATCATTACTCCAGTCTCCAGAAATGATTCTAATATTCTGATTTGCTGCTCAAGAAATAATAATTTCCGATTATTATCAATTTTGAGAACAGTTGTGCTGCTTCATATTTATTCAGAAACCATGATATACTATCATTCAAATGCTGTGTGTGTTTAATAGAATTAATGTTAAAATTATTCAGCAAATATGCTTCAAATGGATCAAAAGTGACAGTAAAAACATTTTAAATGTTATAAAATATTATATTTCAATGCTGTTCTTTTTAACTTTGTTCATCAAAGAATAGAAGAAAAATGTTTCCACAAAATATTAAGCAGCAAAAGATGATTTTAACATTGATAATAAGAACCATTATTAATAACTGACCACCAATAATGATTGAGCAGCAAATCAGCATATGATTAGAATCCCTTTCTGCAGCACCAACATTAACAATTAGAAGCAGTATGTGTTGTATGTGATGTTTGTCATTTTGAATGACTTGTTTTGTAATAAAACTCTAATAATGTACATCATCTGTGCATCCCTAAAAACCATCATAGAAATAATCCAGACGCCTAAACAGACATCAGTTGCAGTGTTCAAATGCAGTGTGATGAACTCGCTCTTTGAAATGCTTTTCAGCTTATAACCTGGCGAAGGAACAGCGGTTGAATTTTGGAGACGATATCCCAAGTGCTCTTCGCATTGCCAAGAAGAAACGCTGGAACAGCATAGAAGAGAAGCGAATCAGCCAAGAAAACGAGCTGCACGCTTATCTCAGCAAACTCATCCTGGCCGAGAAAGAGAGGTGACGCTCACGTCAGTCAGTCATGCGGATCTGTGTAGAGAATCTGTGCTGTAACACCTATCCGTCTCTGTGTTTGTGTTTCAGAGAGCTAGACGACAGCGGGAAGCAGTCCGAGGACAGTCAGAACGGAGGCGAGATCAGCAAGATCAAATCCAAACACGTGAGACACGCATTCAAATACACAAACATCTCTGCACGCTGTGTGTTTGATGAAGTGATGTCATTTCCTGTGCTCTGTGCTGCTCCTGCAGGATAAATATTTGATGGA